AATTTATGGATAGAAATTTCATTTTTCAACATATATTGACAAATAAATATATATATATATATTGGAAAAAACACTTTTAAAATTTCATTGCCATACCTTGAAAATGAGTTGCGCCATCTATGTCCCTTAAATCCCATTCAAACGCCAAAAATGTCTTTTTCGATGGGTTCAAAAATGAGTTGTGCCATCTATGTCCCTTAAATCTCATTCAAACGCCAGAAAAAAATCGGGGGGTTAAAAAATGAGTTACGCCATCTATGTCCCTTAAATCGCATTCAAATCTTTCAAACTTTCATTGTAATACCTTGAAAATGAACCACTGAATGTTTTAAAACTGATTGTGGACAGAATTTATGGATAGAAATCTCATTTTTCAACATATTTTGACAAAAATCTTTTTAAAAAATGCTGTAAAAAATTCATTGCAATACCTTGAAAATGATCCACTGAATGTTCTAACATTGGTTGTAGACAGAATTTTGGATAGAAATATTTTTTTAAATATCAAATTATTCAGCACATATGCACAATTTTAACATTTCTGGTTTACAGACTATAAAAGTATCATTTTTCATTTTGCTCTTTGTTTTTGTTCCCCCCTTTCTCTCTCCCCTTGGTCTCCCCGTTGTCTCCCCGTTGTGTCTCCCCAGGGCGGTGATCCCAATGCAACGAGTCGGGGTGAGCGTTTTGCGCCAACGCGCGCGCGCGTTGGTGGAAAACGAAAGCGAGCAGCGTTTTCAACTCAGGAAAAAGCTCTTTTTCGGGGGACTTGGTGGGGCCCGTTTTCCGGGGCCAAGCAAAGTGGCAAATTGCCAGAGCGTAGAAGATTGCAAAAAATGGATCATTTTTAGGGACATAGATGGCGCAACTCCCACTCATTCGCCAAAATCAGGCTGGGAATGCCCACATTGATGGCGCAACTCCCTCATATCTCCCGACATCCATCAACCAACCTAACCAACATATGCCACATCGATCAGAGTTATCGCAAGACAGAAGGCACAACCACCAGGAAACACATCAGAGTTGTCCCAGGACAGGAGGCAAAACCACCAGGAAAGACATCAGAGTTGTCCTTTTTGGGACATAGATGGCGCAACTTCCGTCATTTTGCCAGCAAAGGTCGAGACGCTTTAAAACCAAATTTTCACAAGTGACCTGAGGAACCGTTTCTTGACGGCAAAAACGGTTCCTCAGGTCACTTGTTAAAATTGGGTTTTAAAGCGTCTCGTCTCGACCTTTGCTGGCTCAAAACAACTTCCGCCATTTCGCCAAAATCAGGCTGGGAATGCCCACATAGATGGCGCAACTCCGGGAGTTGCGCCATCTATGTCCCAAAAAAGCAGCTTGATGTTGATTAAAAAAAATGGGGAGAAATCAGCGCAGAAGATTGCAAAAAAATATGTCATTTTTAGGGACATAGATGGCTCAACTGCCCTGTTTTAAAGGGAGTTGAGCCATCTATCCCCCATTTCTTTTTTTTTGACATAGATGGCGCAACTCAAGATTCTGAGCCATCTACTTTTAAGTCAGAGTAGGTTGAAGATCGCCCTGGACCAAGGGGGAGGGGGGAGGGGGGGGCAGGATTTCTTTTAGATGTACCAACTATGCATTTCGACCAGCTGCAAGTAACTTGAAATCTTGAGTCACATATATGCATAACCATGCAAAACTTAGCATGTCTCTCTACCATGTTTTTGGGCTATCTCTTTAGGCACTGGTTTGCAAATTTGGTCCCTAACTTTTGCCTCTTTGGGGAATTTTTGTCCCTAACTTTTGGGAGTTTTTGTCCCTAACTTTTGGGATTGTTTGTCCCTAACTTTTGCCTCTTTGGTGTTTTTTTGTCCCTAACTGTTGGGAATTTGTGTCCCTAACTTTTGCCTCTTTGGTGAATTTTTGTCCCCAACTTTTGCCAAACTTAGGGACAAAAAACAACAAACTTAGGCCAAACTTAGGGACAGTTATTACCCAAACTTAGGGACAATAATTACCAAACTTAGGCCAAACTTAGGGACAATAATTCCCCAAACTTGGGGACAATAATTCCCAAACCTAGGGACAATGGTTACCCAAACTTGGACAAAATAGCTCTAAAGAAAACGTGGTAGAGCGCCATGCTAATGCATAACCATTTACAACTGGTAAAGGGTTGCAACTTTAGGCTAAAGTCAATAGATGGTCATTCCCATTGTGGTCCCAGTAAACCCTCAATTATATTTGTATTATTCCAAGCTCTTATTAGGTACCTGACAATAGGATATTCCAAAATCTGCTGACTTATCATGATGTATCACACTATTTCCCATGATGCGAAAGTGTCAGTATGTGGACATCGAATGTCTGGACAGTGACCCGGGACCCGCGTGACGTTTCTCAAATTCCAAACCACCAGCCCACATCTGTGATTCGACCTATCAGCACCTTCACAACACTTCAGATGCGTTGATTTCCTGCAATCTCATCCGATCCGACTAGCAGATCGCATGGATCGCAAAGCGCTCCCGCAACATTTGTTTTCGGCATTAGGTTTTGGCTGGAACTTTTGGTGAAGACCCCGACTGGGGGGTAACTGGACAAGTTAAATCCATCCCCATCTAACATATAGTAGAAGTACATAGAATCACACTTAGCCTTCAAAGCGTAAATCATTAAACTCTGAAGGAGTTTGATAATGTTGAAGTTTTTGATTTACAAACTGTAACGGAGCGGGCTAGTCAGACTCTAAAACGCGCGCGCTCCGCGCGCCATCGGGCTAAATAACGCGCGCTCTGCGCGCTATTTGCTTGATACTATAGTTCGCTCTGTAACACGCGCGCTCCGCGCGCTGTCGGCGTCATGCTAGCGCGTAGCCATCCAAACGTAAATCATTAAGCTCTGATGGAGTTTGATAATGTTGAATTTTATTTTGATTTACAAACTGTATAGCTCGTTAGACTCTAAAACGCGCGCTACGCGCGCTCGCAAACGCGCGCTTTGCGCGCTCGAAAACAGCACGTTACGATCGGTTACGCTCTTTCGGCATGTCATCGTGAAACCCATGTTTCAGCTGTAAATCATGTAGATAAAAGTCGCTACACCTTGTCAAACCTGGATGTGGGGTCGTGCCTTCAGATTCGCATGGGTGTCTGTGTGTGTGCGTGTTTGCCATGCAAACAAGATTGTTGTGAATCGGAGGGCCTTGGGGCCCAAGGAGGGGCTGGAAATTGACCAATAACTCAATGTGACAAGTGCCAGATGTAAACATTGCCAAGATTCTAAAAAGCAACCATTTTTCATTTTTGGGGTTACTCTCGTTGGAACACAAATAATGCCAAGGGATTAAGATTTTCAGCCAATGGCTGATGCTGTCTTACTAACCTTGGGCAACTTAGTCACTGATAAAAGAAGAAAGATTGAAGCTGGATCTGCAAGAAGCTCTTGTCAGTCTTTTGTTTTTTCCCGGTGCGAAAGGCAGCTATCTGGAAAATGCAGTGACCACTTTAACCTAACTCTTGACCTGAAGTTCTCGCAACACTGCTTTAGCAATCATACATGAAGAAACCGCTTTTGGGAGCAAAGGGGCTTCGACCAGAAATTCGGTGGCCCTTGGGGTCGCTGACACTGACACTGCTAGCATGGTTCATTTTACCATGTTGAGTACACGGCTCCGCGCGGCGAGGGAATTAATGTTTGGGCAAGAACCTCTGCAAGTTTTGGCGTGTTTTAAAAATTAAATACCACCCATATATTTTTGTGCAGAATACCAGTCGAACCAGCCCAAGGTTTCACCAAAAGTCGCCGAACAAGAAATTTTCAGGACCGAAAGTTGTTAGCCTGGCCCACGAGGCTGCTTTCCCAACCAAAACCCTGCCAGAAAAGAAACAACCAGAAGCAGGGCCAGTGGCCCCAAGGGACGCCGAGCCACCACCGACCACTATACTATACATGAATGCTGAATGCATCTCAAAGTCGTCCTGCAAGAAACGAAGCAACACAACATTTGCTACGCACTACGCAAATGGTCTTCTTTGTGTCGGGCACAAAAAGTTCAAGGATATCATTTCTAGACTCTGCTCACCAAAAAAATACAGAAAATTTCGTATGTGAAAAACAGACTGCAGCCGGCCATGTTTTCAAACCAGTGGTAAAACGCCCAAAATATTGGTATCACCTGTCAAAAAAACATAAACATGAGATGGCATGACTCAAGAACACAGCGAAACACGCGCCCTTTTGTTCCATTGATTTCTTATTGTGCTTCTTCCCGCCTTTCTTCTTCTTCTTCTTCTTCTTCTTCTTCTTGTGGCGCCACTCTCTTTCGTATTTCCGTTTGGAACTGAAAGAGGCGAACATTTGTTCACCACTCATGTACACATGTCTTTCACGTTCCCGCTTGTGGGGCTGCTCAGACTCCAAGTCTTCCGCGCATCCTTGACATCCAAACTGGGCATCATTATCATCTGATCCTGATTCTGTTTCAGATTTGGCATGGCAGCAAGCAGAAGAGGTGGTGTGCCACGCAATTTGATCACCACCACATTCATGTTGAATGGACGGAGAAGCTGAAAAGGATGCCTCCGTCCCTGGCCCTTCAACACCTGCATCTGGATGCTGGCAGGTGGCGGCTAAAGAGGAACTTGTAGATGGGGTAGCTCGCGGTGCCACCAAAACATTAAATGCATGGCCAATGGGAGATTTTCGCCACCGACCCTTCACATGGCTCTCGAAGCAGCCCATCTTCTCCTTGGAGTTGTCTGCCATCAGTCTGCTGGGTCAGTCAACATGGACGGCGGGTTTCAACGGAGCTATCATTGCGATTGATTTGTGTGTCTGTGTGTGTGAAAGGTTTCAACTCCGACCAACTACGGATTCTGACTTGAGAACAGCTACCTTTTGCATCACTCTATGCCTGACTTGCTCATTTGATTCTGAATTCCAGCCACTATGCAGCTCACAAGAAAACCAAAAAAACTTATGGTTTCAATGGTGAACTTCAACCTTGTAAGTAAGTCAAAACAGATCTATGGGTGCCAGGTGTTCCAAACTTGCTTTTCTGGCTGCGATGCAGCAAGGAAAAAAATCACAGGGCAATGCGCCACTGCACAATGAATGTTGTAACTCTCCGCACCACCATCTCTAAGTCTGGACAAGTCGACATCCCTTTGGGTGTCGTCAAAAAATGACTCCTCAGGAGCAGCAGCAGCAGCAGCAGCAGCAGCGCCCGCTTCTATGACCTCATCATCTACCTTCTCCGGCTCCTCTTCTCCGCCCTCCTCCAACTCATCCTCGGCCTTCTCGGCTTCCTCGGCTTTCTCAGGCTCCTCAGGTACCTTCAGCTGCTCAGACTCCGTAAGCTTCTTGACAGAGCCAGCTTTTCCCTCTGGGCCTGCATCTGCCCCACGGTGCTTTGCAACCACGGCCTTCTCCCGCAAGACATTGATCATCTCGGCCTTGGATGCGCAAAGTGCACACGTCTGCTAAATCCAACTATCTGACTGCAGCAGACATAAATGAGGCGCCCCACCCCACGGCGCATTCAAACAAGTCAAGGCACTCCCATGGCCCTCACATCAGCCAGCTTCACCCCTTGCTTCAGCTTTTGGAGCAAGGTGTCCTGGGCTGAATGCACAGCTGCTATTTTCAACCAAGTTGCCAAGGTGTCAAGACATTCCTGTCCAAGGCAACCAAGACACAGCCACTTTCTGGGAATCCTCCTTCTTAACCAAAGAACTGCCAACCTTATTGTTGGCACATATTGGCATTGAAAAAAAGAAAATCAGGGGGGCAAGCGAGAATCTTGCAGGCAGAGCATACCAAATGACATGGGAAGCGGATGATTTGCGGACAAGCAACCGACATGATGTACCCATGGCTGCTCTTCAATTGCCAGTTGTTGCAAGCTTTATGCCAGGAAGGGTTGTGGTAGGTAACGTCAGAAGGCTTGCCAGCCTTCTTCTGATGGTCCTTCGTGTGGGCCTTCTTCTTGGCATCCCCCCTGCCTGTGAACGAAGGTTTCTGGAGTGCAGAAGGCCTCTTCATCACACCAGGCGTCTCGTCCACCTCGTCCTGGTCATCTTCATCATTTTTTTCGTGCGCTGTTGCAGGAGCTGCAACACCACTATTCTTCAAGACTGCACCCATCTCTTTTTTGTCCTCACCGACTGTGCGCGCTGCAGAACTAGGCCTCTTCATCGGAACAGGCACACTCTCCGATGCACCTGCAGCATTCTTCCTTTTATTTTTGGGTGCTGGCTGTGCTGGCTTCACCGTTTCCGGGATAGGTTCCTCCAGGGGGTTCAAACATGCAACGCTGGGAACACTGGACAGTAACATGTTTTCAAACCTGTAACCTGCAAAAACCTGTCCTGAGAGGATTCACTCAAAGCGTCCACCGAAGTGAGAACACGCATGGCTGAAACTCCGGAAATTCAAACAAGTGGGCGCTGGACTTCGCATGACGAACAAATCAAGGGCAGTCATGCAAACGGGAACCCCTTATTCCGAGTCAGTGTAGACATGATGCGCTAAGATCAGATGCATGATACTTATGTACAACTACTCTTTTTGAGGGGGGGTGGTAATACATTAAAATTACTGTATAAGGGCTAATTATTGTTAAATGATAGGGTTTCGCGCTTCATCCCAGAGCAGCAAAAGGGCGCAAACATGGGTTTCAATCCAGCGTGTCCTTATTCCAAGAGTCGGGCCCCGAACTTCAGGCCCTGAACGGGGTGCCCCCAGGCAACTTTGTAGCAAAGGCATGTACGTAGAAGCACATGTATGTGAACTCTGATGATGTAATCAAATGTTTTTTTGGCATACCTGTGCCACAAGAGTCGGGCCCCGAACTTCGGGCCCCGAACTTCGGGCCCCGAACAGAGTGCCCCCAGGCAACTTTGTAGCAAAGGCATGTAGACGCACATGTATGTGAACGATGATGATGTAATCAAATGCATTTTGGCATACCTGTGCCACACGAGTCGGGCCCCGAACTTCGGGCCCGAATGGGGTGCCCCCCAAGCAACTTTGTAGCAAAGGCATGTAGAAGCACATGTATGTGAACTCTGATGATGTACTCAAATGTTTTTTGGCATACCCGTGCCACAAGAGTCAGGCCCCAGGCAACTTGTAGCAAAGACATGTGGAAGACTACGTATGTGAGCTTTGATGTGCTTCTCATTCTCTGGTCTTCGTTAAACCCATGTCTCAAGAGTCGAGCCCCGGATTTGGTAGTAAGTGAACTAGTTTGGTGTCTTTATTGTGAGGTGTTATGTATATCTAAATTGTACTACTATTTGAGGTTTGTCAGGCCTTGGCTGAACAGTGTTAATTTGCTCATTCCTTAGATGTGATCCAAATATTGTGATAGTAGGCATATACATATATATATATATATATATATTTACATTTACATTTACCAAAGACATACAAGTGAACCCTGCAGGGGGTGACCCCTCATTGTGATACACCCCTCTTTGTGATATGTAAACCTGCATGTATCATCGTTTTGCCCGATTCAAATTCATCATGCTGACTCTCATTTCAGATGCCTTTGAGCATATCACTCAGGCATGAAGATGCCAGAGCAAACAAACGTTATCGTTTGAGCGAAGATCAATTCAAGAAGATTGCTTTGTATGATGGCCTGGTCCAGGATGATGATATATTTCCAATGTTTCGGCGGGTGCGACAATGTCCTTCTATGGTGTCTCCCACAGGGATCATCTTTGAATGCTAAATGATTACATTTAGGTATGGATTAGCTCTGCCTTGGCTAAATCCAGTGGGAAATATGGCGAGGCAACCTGTCCTGACCTGCTGAAAAAAAGGCCTGCCTTGCTTAAATCCACTGGATTTAAACGAGGCGAACTTTCCCCCCCGAATTCCAGACTTTGAGGCGAAAAGTTCCAGGATGATCCCTGTGGGAGACACCATAGAAGGATATTTTGCATTCAAGGGTGGTCCCTGTGGGAGACACCATAGAAGGACATTGTCAATTGATTTAGGATTCTATCATAATCCCTGTTGGAGCAAGCCATTGTCAGTTGATTTACTTCAATTCAAGGGTGATTCTCGTAGGAGAAAGCCATTGTCATTCCTACAGGTACTGACGTCCCGGGCGCTTTTGAGCTCACCTATCAGAAGGGACACCAAAGGGGGCTGTGCCTTGCACGCCCTTCGCTGCTTTCTGATATGGCAATCAGGATCCGGGCCAAGTACCAAACCCGAGGGAAGGCGGAAGCAATGTGGCTAGGGTTGAAAGAAGCTGCATCATCATGCATCTCTGAATTCAGATCACTTCCCCGCTTTCTTGACGACTTGGATCTTCTTTCTTCTCTGACACTCTCTCTTCTGACTGCAGGATGAGACTTTGAATGGTGAAGAGCTGATTCCCACTTCCGTCTGCAAGATTGACAGTAGATTCTTGTTGCTTCCAGAGCACAGAGCCCGAGACGGAGCGGGAGGCTTGAGGGAAGAGGAGCAATGGTACCCGGCAACCCGGCGACCCGGCGACCCGGCAACCTAGAAAACGAGGAGAAAGAATAGAGTAGAGGAGGGAGAGAGAGAGAGAGAGAGAGAGAGAGAGAGAGAGAGCAGAGAGCAGAGAGCAGAGAGGATAGAGTAACACAGAGAAACAAAAGAGGCTGAGAGGAAAGAAATGGAATGAAATGGAAAGAGAAAAGGGATTAAAAAGACATATATTAAGTAACAGGCAGATAGAATATTCAAAATTTCATTGATTTGAAAATAACACATAGAATAATGCAAAATTTATAGCTGGGTAAATTTTACACATAGAATTATCCAAGACCTAAAATATACAATTTTAGGGAAATCAACTTTAAAAGCATCATTTTTCCTGTGTTTTACCAGCGTTTTCAACATATAGAATAATAACCTATTTTCCAGACCCCGTCGACCCCTCATCTCCTCAATTCCCAAAGCAGCAGTCAACATTGCTGGCACACTACAACAACTCAACTTTGAATTTTTCCATCCACTCCATATGGAACTCATGTACAGACATACTAAACAAATAATACATTCACTCATAATTGATTGGCTGGCTAATATACCACTTATTGCAATCAAAATAGTACAAAAGATTGGCTGGAGCCATCAAAGCTGGCACCCCATGTAGCTGGAACATTATATCTGTTGATTTTGAATCATTTTGCAAATTAAAACATACAGCAAAATGTGGTCGATTTACGTTCTATCCGAAAAACCACCGCAAACCAACCTCAACATGAAACATGCACGCACGCGCACACACACACGCACACACTTGACCATCAAACACAGTGCATCGAATGGTCAGTTGCAATACTTTCGACACACATTGACACCCACAGACGGACGATGCTCTACACAAACACAGCCTTTGCCCCTGACAAATGCATATAGTGCTATGGAAACAGACGATGTGAACAGAAACAACTGCAACATACTATGTGTTTCTCCTTCGGTTGGCGTGAATGTATGTTTTATCCATGCTTGGTTCAAACAATAATGTTCGGAAATGTCTACCCCATGTGGACACCAACAGACAGAATAGTCCCAAGTCAATCAAAAGATAGACTAATACAGAAACTATGATAAATGATAACTTTGGAAAAAAAACGAATCAAATCTAAGTTTCCAGAAAATCAATTGCACGTTTGGAAACAAATTCATTCACTCATAATTTATTGACTGGCTTGTATGCCGCTTCTTTCAATCAAAACGGTACAAAAAATTGGCTGGAGCCAGCAAAGCTGGCACTCCATGTAGCTGGAATATTCTACCTGTTGATTTAAATCATTTTGCATATCAAAACATACAGCAAAATGTGGTTGATTAACGTCCTAGTTGTCAAACAATTTGAAAAACTCTCGCAAAACGCAAAACCAACATGAAACATGCACACAGACACACACACACACCTAACCCTTGCTAACCATGCCTCATCAGACATAGCGCATCGAATGTTCAGTTGCAATGCTTTCGACACCCATCGACACCAACAGACGGACGATGCTCTACACAAACACAACCTTTGCCCCTGACAAATGCATATAGTGCTATGGAAACACACGATGTGAACAGAAACAACTGCAACTTACTATGTGTTTCTCCTTCGGTTGGCGTGAATGTATGTTTTATCCATGCTTGGTTCAAACAATAATGTTCGGAAATATGTCTACCCATGTGGACACCAACAGACAGAATAGTCCCAAGTCAATCAAAAGATAGACTAATACAGAAACTATGAAAAATGATAAATTCGGAGAAAAAACGAATCAAATTTATTTTTTCCAGAAAATCAATTGCACGCTGGAAACAAATTCATTCACTCATAATTTATTGACTGGCTTGTATGCCACTTCTTTCAATCAAAACGGTACAAAAGATTGGCTGGAGCCAGCAAAGCTGGCACTCCATATAGCTGGAATAGTCTATCTGTTGATTTAAATCATTTTGCATATCAAAACATACAGCAAAATGTGGTTGATTAACGTCCTAGTTGTCAAACAATTTGAAAAAATTTCGCAAAACGCAAAACCAACATGAAACATGCACACGCACACACACCTAACCCTTGCTAACCATGCCTCATCAGACATAGTGCATCGAATGTTCAGTTGCAATGCTTTCGACACACATCGACAACCACAGACGGACGATGCTCTACACAAACACAACCTTTGCCCCTGACAAATGCATATATTGCTATGGAAACACACGATGTGAACAGAAACAACTGCAACTTACTATATGTTTCTCCTTCGGTTGGCGTGAATGTATGTTTTATCCATGCTTGGTTCAAACAATAATGTTCGGAAATATGTCTACCCCATGTGGACACCAACAGACAGAATAGTCCCAAGTCAATCAAAAGATAGACTAATACAGAAACTATGATAAATGATAACTTTGGAAAAAAACGAATCAAATCTAAGTTTCCAGAAAATCATTTGCACGTTTGGAGACAAATTCATTCACTCATAATTTATTGACTGGCTTGTATGCCACTTCTTTCAATCAAAACGGTACAAACGATTGGCTGGAGCCAGCAAAGCTGGCACTCCATGTAGCTGGAATATTCTATCTGTTCATTTAAATCATTTTGCATATTAAAACATACAGCAAAATGTGGTTGATTAACGTCCTAGTTGTCAAACAATTTGAAAAACTCTCGCAAAACGCAAAACCAACATGAAACATGCACACACGCACACACCTAACCCTTGCTAACCTTGACTCATCAGACGTAGTCAATCGAATGTTAAGTTGCAATGCTTTCGACACCCATCGACACCAACAGACGGACGATGCTCTACACAAACACA